TTTTTTTTGAGCTGTCCTTTGGTGAGGGCTCTTAAAACATCAAAAACTAACATTTCACATCGAGAACTAGAAAAAAAAAAATAGTCGGTTTTTTTGCGCCACCCTAATATATAAGGTAAAAGACCCAGTTATTGAGACTGGCCTAGTTATTGATTTTTGCAATTTTTTTTATTAAAAAAAAAACAAATCAACTCTAATAAATTTATAAATATAAATTTTAAGATAATTGATTTTTTGAGAACATTTAATTTTTTTAATTAGAATAAAATTACAAGTGTCAATAACTGGGTCTTTTATCTTATGATAATAAAAAACTGATCAACTAATCCAAAAAAAAAATTTCAGGTCTCTTCGGTGGTGCTGGAGTAGGAAAAACCGTATTAATTATGGAGCTGATCAACAACATCGCCAAAGCTCACGGAGGTTACTCAGTATTCGCCGGTGTGGGAGAGCGAACCCGTGAGGGTAACGATCTGTACCACGAGATGATTGAAACCGGAGTAATTTCTTTAAAAGACAAGACATCAAAGGTAGCGTTGGTGTACGGTCAGATGAACGAGCCCCCCGGCGCGCGTGCCCGAGTCGCCTTGACCGGATTGACCGTCGCCGAGTACTTCCGAGACCAGGAAGGTCAAGACGTGTTGCTCTTCATCGACAACATCTTCAGGTTCACCCAGGCCGGTTCTGAAGTATCTGCCCTGCTGGGTCGTATCCCCTCCGCCGTAGGATACCAGCCAACCCTGGCCACTGACATGGGTACCATGCAGGAACGTATTACCACCACCAAGAAGGGTTCCATCACCTCAGTACAGGCCATCTACGTACCTGCTGACGATTTGACTGACCCTGCCCCCGCTACCACCTTCGCTCACTTGGACGCCACCACTGTGTTGTCCCGTGCCATCGCTGAGCTGGGTATCTACCCCGCTGTCGACCCCCTCGACTCCACCTCCCGTATCATGGACCCCAACATCATTGGACCGGAGCACTACAACATTGCTCGTGGTGTCCAGAAAATCTTGCAGGACTACAAATCCCTCCAGGATATTATTGCTATCTTGGGTATGGATGAATTGTCTGAGGAAGACAAATTAACTGTCGCACGTGCTCGTAAGATCCAGAGGTTCTTGTCTCAGCCTTTCCAGGTTTGTATTTTTTTTTTTTTTTTTTTTTTTTTTTTTTTTTTTTTTTTTTTTTTTTT